CGGGGGTTTAAGTGGAGAGAAAATGTTTTGAGAATGATGTACAAATGCGCTTTACACAATTGATGTGTGTATGGATTGTGATAACAGTTGTATGAGCCCCTAATAAAATGTTTAAAAAAAAAAAAGATGACAATCAGACTATAAAAAAAAAAAAGAAATCAAGGAAGTCAGAAAGTCACAACAGTTAAGAAACCCCTGGAGAGCAGAAACGCATAGAATCCCCGAAGAGGCAGTTTTCACAGTTGGGAAGGAGTGAAGGCAGGCTCCCCCAGATGCGTTCTCCAGGCTAAGATGAGCTCTACAAGTAGACCCAGATACTGTCCACTGACAAGGCAATTTCACAAGCATCCATCCTTATGTTTAGTCTCCCCGATGAGCTCTGAATCTTAGATGGATGCTTCCTATGTTCCAAATTCAGCTCTTAAAGTGCACAGAGCGGAAGTGGTTAATGTAGGGGCTCATTGGTACAACCATTGAAACCCCTATGGAGTAGCTCTGTCCTGAAATACATGGGGTCATCATGAATTGCAGTTGGACCGATAACCAACTGGTCTTTGTTGCTAGTTTTAGTATTGAATGACAGGCTCCATATTTCAATATCTAGACCACTATTGATGGAATTCTAGACACTATAAACTTGAGGCGTGCAGTTGATTGGATTATAAGTCTTGGTAGTATGGCATATCTGGACTTCCTTCTGGTCATAGGGTACACCCATGGGCTCATTGTGGGCAGAGTGCACTTCCCTGCCCCTTGACTTTGATAGCCACGTGGCTCACTTTCACCAGTGGGATATGCTGGCAGACAAGCAACGAGTTGTTAGTTGCCACCAAGCTGATCTCTACTCCTGGCGAACTCCATGTATTAGAGGATGGAATGGCTTCATAGGGTTTTCATGGCTGTAATCTTACGGAAGCCGATTTACAGGCCTTTACTTCCACAGTCCTGCTGGGGGTGTTTAAACCACCAACTGTTAGGTTATCAGTCTCTGGCAAATCCTTTGTACCACCTAGGACTGAAATATGCCTGTGCAGGTGGGCTTGCCCTCTTGTGCTTCTTCTGCCTCTATGAGAAAAAGACACCCAAGGCCGCTGCTTCCTCTCCAGCCTGGGCCCTATCATGAGACGTGTGGAGCAGAAATGCCCCAGCCACCCATTGGTAGGTGAGTGAGAGAGAAATACTTATTGTCAGATGCTATCGAGATGTTGTGCTATGTTGCCGTCTTGTCGCTGGAGGTGACTGTCCAGGGAGATAAAATCCAAGCAGAATGTTGTGACTTCAGAGGCTGATACTCACCCATCACCAGCACTGAGGTTCCCACATCAAGCATCATCTTCACGGGCTTATGCGAGCCATCAGACTTCACACAGTGGTAGTTTCCACCGTGCTCCTTGGTGACGTTGTGGATATAGATAGAATAATCCCACTTAAGTGGTTCTAATGTCCGTTGCCTCAATGGCAGCACCCCAGGGAAGACGCCATGTTTGAAGTTGTAAATTTCCTGCTTGTCTTGAACTTTCACCTTGATCCATTTCACCCTGTCTTCAATCGAGGAGCCAACCACTGTGCACCTCAGTAGGAGCGTCTCGCCTTCTGCCACAAGCATGGGGCCCTCAGGTTGTAGCACCTGCCACTCAGGCTCAGAGGTTCCTGAAACAGAGGTAGAAAGGCCTTTCACTGGGCAGGTAGGCAAAGTTAAAGCAAGAATCATTATCTAAGCAAAGAACAACTGCTTAGGACGCTTGAGTGGAGTTGGAGAGGGAAAGAGAAGACAAGGTGGCTGGTTGGAGAGAAAGAATAAACTAAACTAGAATTCTTTTGATATCTAGTGGATTGATCTTTCCAGACTGGAAGCAAAAGAAATACTTCCCAAGACACACAGACGTACTCTCACTCGACAATAAACATTAAAGATGTCCTGCGGACGGGAAATGGCACCAGATGGAAACCCACGTTTACACAGAAAAATGAAGAGTGCTGGAAATGACATCCACATCAGTAAATATGTAATCTTTTTTATTTCTGGCAAAGGCATTTTAATGGTACCCTAGAAAATACCCATCAAATGCAAGTGATGCCAGTAATCTGGAAACTGGGGGACAGACACAAGGACATAGGACATACAGGAAGCAAAATATTTATGAGCGAATTCTGCTACAGATGGGTGGATTGAAAACTACGGAACATTGCTGGAAGAAATTGAAGAACATTTAGGGAAATGGGAAGATATGTCCGCTGGAGATATGCATTATTTAATGTGGTTCTTCTAGCCTCTAACTAGTCTCTTTTAGTCTCTAATTCCCACCAAACCATCTTTGCCTATATGGGTCTGGTAAGAAGGTGCAGGAAGATACTGATAGGATTCACCTATGTGTGACAGTAAGCAGGATTCCAGGAATGCCCTCTGCTGTGTATTAAACGAGCCCTTTGAGAAACAGGAGGAAGGCTCTCATTACCAACAAAAGCCAGGAGTGGAGCAGATCCTCTGGACCAGAGATTCCAGTGCAGTAAACCTCCTGGTTCCAGAAGACAGCTATAACATCAGAAAAGCTCTGGCAGCAGAATCAGGAGCCAGGCATGAAGCAGAGTGGCGGACTGGGAAGACGTACAGCGGAGTGCTTTTGTGCAGGATGCTGACTTGTGGAGTGGAGTGTCTTTGGGCGCTGAATTGAGGAAGCTGGGTTTGCTGACCACAGAAGTGGAACTGACTGCCTCTGGGAGGAGGCTTACTGGAGTGCAGTGGCTCAGGGCTCTTAAGTAAGGGAGCAGACTCACTGAGTTTGAGCCGAGACTTATAGCAGAGTGGTATTCCCCTTTGGGCAAACCTGAAATAACTTTGTAACATGTTCTGATAAACAACTACCCTGAGCTTCTCGATTCTGACTCATAGTGACTCCATAGGACAGGGTGGAGCTGGCCCTGTGAGTTTCTGAGACTGTCACTCTTGACAGGAGTGGAATGCTGTGATACCAAACTGCTGACCTTGCAGGTCGCAGCCAAACTTGTAAACACTATGCCACCAGGGCTCCAACTCCTTTTATAAACTCTTGAACCATGAAATTTGTCTGTGAGTTCTATGTGCCAGGTCAGGGACAGGCTGTCAGGGCCTCAACCCTTCTCCCTGCACGTACCAGGAAATGAAGTTGACGGATCATTCTCCGAACTGGCTCCTAGAATAACCGTCTTTCCTTTCCACCTGCAATGGCTGGACAATTAGACTAAGGCAAGACATGACAGTAGTGGAAAATCCCCAGCAGCTGCAGCCCCAGCCCCTTCCCAAAGGGACCCTCCTCAGCCCCTCCTTTAAAAACCCACCACTCTCCTCACTGGGTGCGTCTTTCCTGGGCTACTTGCTAGACCTCATTCGGGAGCTTCTTTTCTAATAAAGGGTTGTTACAGCCTCTTAACTTTTTCTCTTTTTCCTCGTGCCTCGGTGTATCTCTCCTTTGGTGCCAAAATCCGGGAAGAGTACGAGGTGTCTTGATGTGCCCCCGCCTGCCCTTGGGCGACTGCAATGCCCCTCTCTCTTCCCTCCCCCCTTCCCTCCGACTGGGCCCTTTCAGCTGCCATCCGTCAAGTCTATGAATGAGTACCCGACTAAATTTTATCTCTGCTATTTTGGGCACTGTCCCTTGCTGCTGAGTATTTCCAGCAGAGGCTCTGTCCATTAATTTCTGCTGAACCATGGGCCCGTGTCAGAGCCTCTCCATCCAAAGGACAGCCCGGGAATTGGGAGGCTGCTAAGCCCTGCTCCCTTCATCCAAGGGTCAGAGACATTCAGATATCTGAGTCTCTCTGCCCCTTTTCTGGGGGAGCTGGGAGACCCAATTGGATACTTGGGACGCTGATTGTCTAGCTTGGTCTCTTTCAAGAACCCTGCCACATGGGAAACAAAAATTTCAAGCCAGACTCTTCCACTCCTTTAGGGAGTCTCCTAACTAACCTCTCAACCCTTGGCTTAACGCCAGATGTCCGGCCCAACGCCTTGTTTCTTTACTGCAGTTCGGTTTAGCCCCCATATAAACTAGATAATGGCAATTGGCCTAAGGTCCCCTACGTCCAAGCTTTCTTCCTTCTATGCTCCCGTCTCTCTCTGTACTACCTGTTATCCTGCTAGTCTTTATCTGTACTACCTGTCACCCCCACTCAAGTTCTCTTAGCCAAACACTCTTTTAATCAGGTCCCTGACAGTACTTCCCCTGTCTTTCTCCAAACCTCCTGACTCCTTGTCTGCACCCCCAGTAAGGCCTCCCCCCCACTCCAGGCCCTATGTTCCTTCCTTTGTCTTTTCCTGTCAGTCATCATACCTGTTCGCACCAACCCCTCCTCTGCCCCCTATGGGAAGTTGTGGGCACTGAGGGTCTTGTCCACGTCCATGTTCCCTTCTCTCTCACCAACTTATCCCAAATTAAAGAGCACTGAAATTCCTTTTCCAATAAGCCCATCGCCTACATCAAAGAGCTTTGCTATCTATATCAAGCCTATAATTTATCATGGCATGATATTTTTGTAGTCCTCTGATCCACTCTCACCTCAAATGAAAGAGAGCGTGTTTTTGCCACTGCCCAGCAGCATGCAGACCAGGTTCATCTTACTGACCCCAACATGCCTGTGGGTAATCAGGCCCTCCTGAGCCAGGAACCAGGCTGGAGTCACCAGACTGATACCCAGGCAGGCCAGGATGGCTGGGTCCACCAAGATAAAATGCTCCAGTGTGTCTTGGCTGGCCTCCTGGGAATCTCTCACAAAGAAGTTAATTTTTATAAGTTCAGGATGATTACTCAAAGGCTGGATAAAAATCCAGCAGCATTTTTAAATCTCCTGACTGAAGCCCTCACCCAATCCACCCGCCTAGACCCAACCTCACCAGCAGGGGCCACTGTCCTTGTCACACATTTCATCACTCAATCAGCTACAGACATTAGAAAAAAGTTTAAAAGGGCTGAGGACGACCCTCAGACTCCTATATGGGGCCTGGTAAATATGGCCTTTAAAGGTTTAATACCAGAGAGGAGCAGGCAGAGGCAGATAGGGCTTCTCAAAATAGCCAGAAGGCAAACTTACAAGCCCAAGCCTTGATTACAGCCCTGAGAGCCTCGGCAGCCAAGAAGACATCGGCATCCTTGCCAGGCCCTGGGAACAGCAGTTTCAGACCACCCCAGGAGCCTGCTTCAAGTGTGGTCAGCCAGGTCACTGGGCCAAGCGCTGCCCACAACCTCATCTGCCCAACAAGTCTTGTCTGGCATGCAGTCAACGGGGCCACTGGAGAACTGACTGTTCTTTGGCACCCAGCCGTGAAAGGCCAGTCCCTCCAAGCCCTGACCTGCCATTGACGCTACTGGGCCTAGCTGCTGAGGACTGACGGCGTCTAAACTCGACAACCCCGATCATCCTCCCCGAGACCAGGATACCAATCAAGGTGGCGGGCAAGGCTTTGTCCTTTCTGGTTGACACAAGGGCTGCCTTTTTGTTTTGCTTTCCTTCTCTGATCCTTTATACCTTTCCCAGGTCTTTGTCTTGGGAATTGATGGCCGTCCCTCTCACCCATTGTCCACTGGGCCCCTTACACATCGGGTGTCTAATGGGCCAGTTACGCAAAAAAATTAAGATGGAGACAGTAAGTTTTAAATAGTCAGAAAAGTATACAGAAAGCTGTTTGCCAAGAAGTTAATGAGAAAGGAGAAATGAATGTGTTCATTATAAGAGGAGGATTATAGTATAAGAAATATAAAGGGCATCAAACTCATGATTCCCTGGTGACATAAGAAAACAACTGAGCAGACATGGTCGCCCGCAGCCTAACTAATTCAGACCAGCCTCACCCCTCTCCCAGCCTCCTCTTGTCACTGCCCAATGTCCAGCCACAGTATACAGACATGCAACTACACTCCTTGCTGTCCAAGGGAGGAACCCTAACCCCAGAAGGGTGGGTGATGCTGTAGGAAAAGCTAGCCTTACACCAAGCCCAGACAGCCACCATTGTACAACAGAGCTAACACTCTTTACACATCGGCCCTGAAAACCTTTGCCATTTCCTTAAGTCTCTGTTTCATCACCATCATTGCAAACCCTTGTGAACACTGTTTGTTCTGCCTGCCACACTCGTGCCTCTGTCAGCCCGCAGGAAGGACTTAAACCAAACTCCTCTACCCATCGGATGAGAGGACATCTCTCAGGACAGGATTGGCAAGTAGACTTCACCCACATGCCATCACACAAAAAGCTGAAATATCTTCTTACCATGGTTGACACCCTTACAGGGTGGGTAAAAGCCTTCTCTACCAAGCATGGAACTGTGGAAATGTGACAGACACCCTGCTGACCCACATCATTCCCAGATTTGGTCTCCCCACCTCCATACAATCTGATAATGGGCCTGCTTTTAATTCCAAGATTACTCATCAGGTATGCTCAGCCTGAGCTATTGATAGGAAGATACACATCCCATGCAGATCTCAGTCATCAGGAAAAGCAGAAAGGTGAATGGACTCCTCAAAGATCACTCACAAAGCTTTCTGTAGAACTCTGCCAGTCCTGGGTCTCACACTTTTACCAATAGCCTTTGCTCGCATTAGAGCCTCCCCTCGTAGTCCCACCTTCCTCAGTCCTTTTGAACTCATGTTGGAAGACCATTCCTACTTAACCACCAC